ACTAGTGGCTTTCACTCTCTTAACACTGTTCTTCGTTTTCGCCCAGACAAAACGTTTGTGGGGCGATTACCACAGGTCTAATAACTTCTGTCCATGAGTCACATGACTGTTGATATCGAAGTGCTCGTGAGTTTTGGGGTTCTTATTTCATTCAAGGTCATCAACTTTGCACGTCATTTATCCAAATATATTAAATACAAAAGAACGTTGATATCCCGTTGGCTAAGAAGAGTCCAATCACCGGACACATCTGTGCACTTCGTCACTGAAAGAGTTTATATCGTGATTGTTTTGGAGTGACCCTTGATTATTTCACACCCATGTTCAAATTAGTTCCCTCATTTTTATTCAAAATCAACAACCAAAATATTCGTTGAAGGCTGTATGTGTTATGCTGTTCTCCGTTATTATTTAGGGTTCAAGCAAGATATTTGACCATGTGAAGAAGTTGGTACACAAAGACAAAGTAATTAGTATATTCTTTTGCGCACTGCATTTGGTTGTACTTCATTTAGATCCACGGGCGAAAAGTAATTTTATATTTATTCACCTGTCGAATATTGTCACATTTTCCTGTCTATCATGGTATCAGAAATTACCCCGGAAAAACAATCGCTTTTGTGTTTTGGTAATTGTCGTAGCTGGATAATATATTTTCAATGACCCCAAAGTTTCACAGTGCACTGTATAACTACATCTGTTCATTGACAAGTGTTATTTACATTCATGTACTTTAAGTATTTATCGATGGAACACATTTCATTGTCAAATCACGAGCATCCATTAAATCAGGGGGACTGAATCGGCAGATAAACAGCTTGCCATTTTCGGATGCAACTCGATGGTATTTCGCCTTGACGTTTCATGCCTCCCTTCATTCTTGTAGATTGGCAGTACCAGTCAACTCCGCTGTCACCTGGCTAATAAACACCACATAAGTCCTATTGGTGTCTTATTTGGTTTTCCAGTCAAAGTCTTAGGGCTCAGATCGCTCAATCTAGCAGCACCAGCTTGAAATCCTAATAGGCAATATCAAACTATAAAATCACGTATATCACAAGCTATGAAACACCAAGAAGAAGTGGGTTGGAACATTCACGTTTTGACTAAATGCTAATAGGTTTTATGTATTGGCATATTTAATACGCCCATCACAGGGAACTGTTTTTTATTTTATCAAAACCCAAGTCTCTCCTCCTACCGCCTTCTTCTAACACTAACCAATTTCAGTTTCAGGTGTATTTTTTCTATGAATTCAAGTAGCTCAAACGTGCTGTTCTCGCCTCTATCTGGTATTTGGTAGCCAATTATCGATTGTTTTATTTAAACTCTTCCAACCTTGAATTCTAGACTTTGTTTGGATTATTACTTTTAATTATCACATCCCCAGTAGTTTTATCTTTTATTGCTCCCGCGAAAACCCCATTCAGATAACTTTTGAAAAATGTCCCCCAAAGGAGAGGACTCATCATGCAATCCAGCTCGACGTTCAGGCCATCACATCTCTCGTTTTCGTTGTCCAGAACCCAGTTTTGATTGTTTACTCATTCGACAGTATTTTAACACCCAATAGTTTGTGGCTTTGTAATTATTGATCTTCATTTATACTTGAAGCGTTGGAGCTCCGCTTATCGATGAACAGCTTCCACCCCATTTTTAATTCACAGTCCAATGTGCATTATTGGGCAACCGACTCTTTTTCTGTTATCAATCGGTACAACCATGAAGTGCTTTTACCCTATCCAGTCCTCGGTTCCTTCCACTCCAGGGTCGTAAGCAAACAGCAGCGACGTTTACCAAGTGACGGTGCCAAAATATCTCATTCTTCCCTCTCTTCCAAGAACGTGAAAACTACAATCCTTCCTCATAGTTTATTGGTGTATACAGATTCTCAAGTAACGACGGTTTATATGAATTTTTTTCAGTAATTTTGATTGGTGGTATAAATGAAAATTCTAGGTGACTGGGAGACGAGAACTGCCGATGAAATCCCATGATGCTCAGCACATATCACTGAACAAATATTGCACATTTAATTTAATCGATCTGCCGAATGCAAACAAGCGAGGATAGGCACGCACGGTTTAATACTTTCACGTGCATCCTGCCGATTAGTAAAGAAAGTTACACATGGGGAGTTGACGAAAAATGCCACCTGGATTTTCATCTGAATCTTCGGTGAAATCATGCTTTTTGGATAGATACTCAAGAGACCCATACGTTTCGTGAAATTGTGAAACGTTCAAGGCTCCCGGTAAGAACAGAGTTGTTTCTGTGCCTAGATCGATAGAATAGAAACACGGATGGAGTCCATATGTGGACTTACATGCCTCTGAGACTGCCGACTTGGAAACATTTCAACAGAATAGAAGATGATTCATTTTTCGATTACTCGTTTTATCTGAAATTATGTGAAATAATACTTGGTGATACAGAGTAGAGTGATAATAAAGTAGAGATCATACGTAAAACAACAAATTATAAAATTGTTCAAAAAAATCGGCATAATAAAAATCACATTGATTGAACGTAGGAATGGTTCAGAATCTATTGTTTGGTTAGTCAATACAATCTGAGGGGCTCCAAATAACGTGAGTTGTTTGCTTCGTATATGCTGAAAGTTTTATTTTTAAGCGTGCAGTTGCTTCTCTTCGACTTTTATGCGCTTACTGAGAGTTTAAAGAATAGCATGGTCTCGCAGAAAAATTTGAATTCTCGACTCTTCCAAGTTGAAACAGGATCAGTGCATAAACTTGATGCTCTTGTTAGGACTCAAGCTGTTAACTGTAAAATCGTACGTTTCAGTGGTTTTCGTTTCCCATCGGAGAATTTTGCTCTCCAAATGCCCGAAGGGGGGAAAAATTTGCGCTCCTCATCTGTGATGTGGAACATAAGTGACATGTCACACTTCCAATAATAACAGGCGTTCACGTGACTGGATGTTGCAGTAATACATTCGTTATCCAGCAAACTGCTGCATGCTACCAGCATAAACGGTCTATATCTCCCTAAAATAACGGTATTGGTATTTGATTTTTAAATCTTTTCCCCTGCACTTAAATGTTTAATTTAGACACAGAAAACGCATCATAGCCCATCGCTTCGTTGTTCGTTCATCATCAGTCTGGTTACCACTTTCAAGTTAATTTTTAAAGTCCACCGCAACCGATCTCAGAATTGCTTGTACCAAAAGATTGCTACACAAACTGTCTGTTACAGGGGTCAATGTACATGCTCACCGGGAGGCTTTCCATTATCCAAAACTATTAAATTAGTTCCAATATGAGTGTTCATTGTTACTGCGAGATCAGCCATCTAGCAATAATCGGATAACGCAAGAATGACCGGTGTTTTGGTCGTGAAAAAACATTATTTTTCAGCAAATACTCGTTGACGGCATTCTGAGGAATGATTCTGGAATTTTGGGTGAATTTGCAATGATGCTGAGCAGACATGCACGTTGACATGTACCACTGGTGTCAATCTGGATCTGGGGTAACCTCGTAGCAGCCCAACACATTCCTGGTAATAAGTGAAGGAAACGGTTCAAGAGGACATTTTGAGTTTTTGTTCAGGTGCTCGTGGATCTTTAAAGTCGCGTTGAAAACGTTTCTGTATCAGAGAAGATATCATCATACAGCGAATGGCTTTAGTGTTGAGTTCGTTCAAGGCCATCACCAAGCTAAAACATGCACTAGTGAAACAATCTTCTTTCACTCATCTCCGAATGACTTTGGTGATGGCTCTACAGCCGATTTCCATCCGCCTAAACCCATGTAATTATGTAAATGTCCATATATGGTATTGTTCCTATAACATTCCAACCTATTTATTGTGCGTAGACAGTTGACTGATAGCATGCAAAATTGATTACCAATTTTTATTCAAATCCTATTTGACTCTGAAGCCGTTGCAACCCGACTTTGAAAGCTCCGAAACTGACTGAATATCACAGCATTCCAACCTTTAGGATTTAACAGGCTTGGAAAGTTTAAATTATATGCTACCAGAAAAATGTCGAGATCAGACGTGGTACTGCACACGAGAATACCGTATTTACTTGCGTCATCGCTAACCAATGGACATAATTCTTGCGCATGGAAAAATGCTAGGTCCCACATAAATGGGTGCTAATCGGTCGCTCTGATCCACTGTGTACGCTCTTGTTGCCTTAATGTGAGCGAAGGAAATAGAAGCAGAGATGATGAAAATGCTTATCGACTGAAATTGTTGCTCTGCTCAAAATGCATCTGCAGCACATACAGGAAGTTGAAAAATGGTGATGACAGTCATACTAGATGGACGTTTCCTTTTCTGACCAGAGGTCACTGAAGTCTTATCTTTGGAATCCGATAATAATAATATAGTAGTAGAAGAAAATTCAGTTGTAAAGTGCTTCCGAGATTTTCCGGTGATAAGTTTACCCTTTGACTCAGAATACTGGATACACCTTCCACACAACGGTAAATATGTAAAACTTACAGTGTATCAAAAGCATATGATCGTTGAGTTTGAATTATATTTTTAGCCATTGTATAACTTTGTACAGTGAACTGTTAGAATCTCTTGAAAGAGACCATTGAACACATCCCACACGTATATCACACATGATGTTGGCTTGGGGTACGTGGCTGGAAACCATCCCTCACGTGGTTGATATTCACCAAGCCAGTATTCATCTTCGCTTTGAGTTGGTCAGATCAGCTTTCGTAATTTTAATTGCAATTTTTTTTGTTGATCTGTTGGGCACAACAATCCCCACAGAATCCCAGTACACAATGCAAAAAAGCGTCAATTGGTTCTTTTGTATGTTATCTGAGGGAACACGGAGTGGCAAAACTTTGGAAAATTAACCAACACTTGCCAAATTCGGTTTCGCTATGAAACATGTCAGTGCTAACTGGAATACGGCTCTAAATCAGGTCGGAACACATGTGGCCCATAGATCAAAGTCGCAAATCGCATGTTCGCATCTTTTCCTCACCCCAAACAAACAACCGTCACGGTTGACCGGTATCAAAGACAGCCTGTGACCAAATAGTCGGTCTTGACCCCTTTAAGCCAACTACACGCGTCTCACGACGTGGATGATGATGATTATCTCGTACCGGCTCCAGTGTTTGTGATGTTACTCGGGCGACAAGCCGGTATGCATAGTCGGACCGCGGACGTGAACACTTGGATAAATTGCCGTCCTCTGACCGGCTGATTTGGATCTGGGCCAAAACGGCGTCGTCATATCGGGGTAGGGCACAACCAAGAGCTACGCGCATATTTTGAAACAAAGGTTGTCTTCAAACTGGGAGTGCGAGCGCAAGAGTGTGTGCATTTGTGTGTTTGCTACCGCACCTCCACCAACTTTTATCTAAAATTACCGAAGCCATTGAGGAAAAATGGGTTGCTAGTATTTCACAGTGTAGCTGAGTTCTGAGACTAAAGATCAGACAACGGTGAGCTATTGGTATTGGACTCATACCTAACATCCGGAACAATTGTCTATCGTGAATTGCACAGATTACTTAACACCCGTTTCACGCAATGAATTTGTGACCATTGAAGGTGGATAAACACAACTTAGATTTTACCTGTGATTATTGGAGGATTTGATTCAATTTCATAGAAGGGATTTGTCCATTGAGGGAATGAAGCATGAGCTCAGAAGTATTGATAAAATTTATCCGATAACTGAAGGTCAAATTTAGGCCACGGCCGCTTCCAGCTAAATTGATTTATGATTGCTAATGCTGTTATTTCCTTAGAAGAAAACTGAGTTGCTCGACAAAGCTGTGCCAGAGATCGATCGATCCAACCCTCTTGCACTTCAGGGTCAGAAAAGGTGTATCAGACATTACTTGGCTCTAAAGAACAATTCCATTTCAATTTTGTAAACATGCGCACTCACGGGTTTCTCCTCGGACTTCGTCGTCAAATTTAGGCACAACTCACATGCAGACACCTATCAGTGGATCCAAATCAAACGTTTTGGAAACCAAAGTACACCCTAAGATGCCAATACGTCAACCTTTGAAGAGAGAGAGGGCATTTATAGTTTTGTCTGGTCCATCGGGACAAAATTAGATATACTATCAAATACTGAACAAACCAGGTTGATGTGGAGAGTTTTGATATTATCCAACCAGGTGACGGTTTGAATCCATACTTTACACACTGCTGAACACGGCAAATAGAACTGTCTGTAGACGCACATTCGCTAGGTTAAGTATAGTAAATGCGTCAGAAACTGATCGCGGTCAAACACTCGCAGATAACAAGAGTGAACGCTTTCTGTTTGTTTCACTGTACACTGGGATATTTTTGTGTGGCTAGTTTATCGTTTGCTACGGGGCACGGGATTTCAACAGGCAGCCTGTACAACATTCACGCCTCTGAATTGTT